CCACATCTGGGCGGGGAAATACCTGGAGATTGGGGGGGCGGAGGAGGGCAGGGTTAAGGGAGGGGAGGGACCTCAGGGGGGTAAAGTCTGCCTTCCCAAGCAGCCATTTCCTCCGGGGAACTGATGTATGCCGCCTGGAGATTAATTGTAACAGTGGGAGATCTCCAGGCTCCACCTGGAGGTTGGCATCCCCAGGAAGTATAGATGTTTTCTAACATTTCACAAGAGAAAGGCCTGCTTTGTAACAACCCTATTTTCTTAACAGGCACCTTGCCCTGTCTTCCCATCTCCTACCCCTACAGCTGAAGGCTGAATTTAATAACTCTGCAATCGTCTGTTCTGCGTGGATTTAAAAGCCGAGAGGGGGTTGCTTCTTTGTTGCTCAAAAACACACTAGAAAAACAGACCTCTGCTAGCAGCAGTCCTCAGTTCAGTCTAAGCTCTAGTTGGACGTGAAACGGGCTATGCACTGTATGCTGCCTTGGTGTTCATGCGCAAGTGTCCACATGGGTGCTAGTCAAGACATAGCGTTTCATATTTGTTTACTAAGAACTCTGAGGAGGGAACCAGATGGGAGCAGATGTCCATCAGTGGCTATTAGCCACAACATATAGATGGGGCAGTGATGCTCTGTATTCTTGGTGCTTGGGGGGCAACAGTGGGAGGGCTTTTGGAGTTCTGGCCCTGCTGGTAGACTTCCTGAGGGCACCTGGGTTTTGGCCACTGTGTGACACAGAGTGTTGGACTGGATGGGCCATTGGCCTGATCCAACATAGCTTCTCTTATGTTCTTATGTACCTGTTTTCATCTGACCAGGAAGGTCTATGCAGATTCTTAGGAGCTTTGGCTCTGTTCTCTAGGACTTTCCACCCAGCTGGTGTTTACTTGTTTTCCCATCCAGAAGACGAGGGGGGGACAGGTCTGAGTGCGGGTCTGTACACACAGATTAGTGAAATATGCACAGCCCTGATCACGCTGCTGCTGCGGCAACACAGAGCAAACAGCCAGTTAGCTCTCTCTGGCTTCCTGGTTACGGAGAGGGAAGGAAGCCTCTGAGCTGGTTAACGGTGCCTGGAATTAATACGCTCCTTTGGACACCTGTTTTTAGGGACTTTTTTTAAATCACAGGAGTCACTGAATAGAGATCTGGGAGATCTGGCTTGAGATTCGAAATCAGCAATAGATTCTTTTACGTGTGGCTTTTAGGACTGCCGACTGTGAGGCGAGGCCTGAATCACAACAGATCTCCAGGCTGCAGAGATCAGTTCCCCTGGAGAAAATGGCTACTTTGGAGGGTGGACTCTATAGCATTACATCCCTGGAGAGCTTTCTCCCCACCCCAGGCCCCATCCACCCCAGGCTCCCCTTCCAGATCTCCAGGAATCTCCCAACCTGGGTTTGGCAATCCAGGACCAGCTTTGTAAAGGTAAAGATTCAAAATGGCTACTTCCAGTCGAGTCCGACTCTAGGGTTGCGGTGCTCATCTCCGTTTCAAAGCCGAAGAGCCAGTGCTGTCCGAAGACGGTTCCGTGGTCATGTGGCCGGCATGACTAAACACCAAGGAGCACGGAACGCTGTTACCTTCCCACTGAAGTGGTCCCTATTTATCTACTTGCAATTTCTTGCTTTCGAACTGCTAGGTTGGCACGAGCTGGAACTAGAGATGGGAGCTCACTCCATCATGCGGCACCCGGGTCTCGAACTGCTGAACTCCTGACCTTCTACAGCCTGCAGTTCCGCGTCTTAACCACTTGAGCCATTGCAGCTCCACTTTGTACTTTGTACTACTCGCTATTTATCTAGCGTTGGAGGGGGTGCTGAAGCATTTGATTCATTAACATGCATTCCTCACAACAACCCTATAAAGTAGGCTAGTAATACTGTCGCTACCTAGGTAATGGGAAGCTGAGGTGGAGCAAAAAGTGCCTTGTCTTAGAATTCCCCATGATCTTGGAGGTGGGACTTAAGCGAGAGACTTCGGGGTTTGCAGCCCACACTATGCTCTAAGGAAGACCCGTCTTGCAGCGGTGTAGAGATTATTTTCTACATTAACAGGGGCTGGGATCCAAAGCTCTTCATGTTGTGATCCAGCTCAGGAAATATCACTTCTCTAAGCAACGCTGTTGTTAGCGTGGACAGCTTCCAGCTGGGGCCTGGAGATTTCCTGGAATTACAGCTGAGCTTCAGACGACCAAGATCAGTCCCCCTGGAGGAAATGGCAGTTCTGGAGGATGGATTCTCTGGTGTCACATCGCTGCTGGGGTCCCTCCCCTCCCCAAAATGTGCAGGGTATAAATATTTCAATAAATAAGATAAGAGATAAATAAATAAAAGCCTTCCTCTGTTGTTTCTCTCTTAGAGGGCCATCCTGAGCAGGGCTCTCGCCGTCTTACTCAGGTCTACTCACTGGGGCTTATGCCCTGGAAAGTGTTTTAGGATTGCTCTGTTTGTATCTGGCATTCAGAGGCATGCTGCCTAGGAAGCTGGAGGCTCTATGCAGCTATCTGGCTGACAATTGCCAATAGACCTCTTCTCCCATCCACCTGCACGGAGAATTTAGTGGCAGGGAAAGATCTGTCTTTTGTTTCTTCTTCTGCAGCTGTTAAAAGGCACACAGGAAGCTTTCCAGGAAAGGGGAGGGGGGAGATGGCCACTCAGTTTCTCCACTTCTTGCAAGCTTACTTCCACTGCCCCACCCCCACCACCTGCCACCTTATTCCCACCTCTTGGCTTTGTTTTTGCAGCGACAACCTGGTGTCACCCAAGTGGAAGAATTTCAAGGGGCTACATCTGCTCTGCCGGGACAAAATCCGTCTCAACAATGCCATTTGGAGAGCCTGGTACATCCAGTGTGAGTTCTGGGGCCTGGCTGGGGTGGGTTAGGGGTTAAATTCATTCCCTGGCAGCTTTTGCCATCAGAGCTGGTGAGCCTTTCGCTTGCACACAGAACTGAAAACTAGTGGCATTTTCAGCATTTGAACCCCAAAGTTCAGAGTTTCTCCTTTTCCTGTTGTGGTCCTGAAATCTGGATGTCTACCTTTGAAAAACACCCAGGATCCAATCCACCAGGAAACACGTTCTCCAGTCCAATGAATGGAAACATCCAGAAAAACTTGAAAATGTATACCAGATTATAATGTCAATAAATGATTTATGTGGGAGTACAGTTACTATGTGAAAGGATCCATGGCCTGCTGTACAAGCTAACATCAAAATATGTGAGATATCATCACCTGGTCAGGATTGATTTATATGGTTTATTTTCCAGATGTGTTTCTAAAAACTACTATTGACCACTAAGGAAGGCCTTTGTGGCTGAAACGCGCATAGTGTTGTGTTGGTCATTTAATGTTTTCATCAGTTTTGTAGAGGAAATTATAACAGCTTATGTAAAGCTTATTCTTGCTGATTTTTAATGTAGCGTGATATTCAGGCCCGATGTTTTTAATTTTTTAATTATATTATTGTGTACACCATATAATAAATATATTTCCTTTGATACAGCTTGACCCTTGAGGCATTCAGAAGCCCCGGTCACACGGCAAAGTTGCTGCGGGAGAGGCGTGGATGGTGGGCGGATTATCCGGGCGCGATCACACCCCAACATCTGGGAAGTGGAGCGCACCCGTGGTTTACCGCCGACAATGCGAGTTAAAAAACTAGTACCTCCAAGGTAGTAGTAAACGTTTGCCACGGGCTGCCTCCAGGCGCCTGTGGTGTGATCGCGCCTGCGCATGGCATTCCCCTCCAGTCCCTCGTTTACCCGCCGGCGCCAAGGGAAGGACCGGTGGTGTGCTGCCAGCGCGTCTGATCATGTAATCACGGATCAAACTGTGTCGGGGCAATTAGCCATGCCTCCCCCCCAATGTTCCCTCTAAGCCGTGGAGTCTTGTGAGCAAAAATTCTACTCTGTGAGCTACTGGCATTAAAGTTGTGAGCGAGCGATTTAGCTGCTGCATAAATTAGTTTGCTCTGGAGCCTTCCTTCCTGAGCTGAGACAAAAATGTGTGAGCTGGAGGCTAAGAAACGGTGAGCTGGCTCACACTAACTCAGCTTAGAGGGAACACTGCTCCCCCCACACACACACGATATCTGACCCGTGTGACCGGGGCCCTAGTATATTTTGGGTTGACTTTGTTTCCCCCTTCTCCTTTGTTTGGAAACTGCCTGTGTCATCCCTGGAGAAAAGAAATGATTTAGTAGGCAGGGATCTGCAACTTATGGCTCTAGAGCAAACTATGGCTCAGTATGAAACCGACTGAGGCTCTTTGGAAAAGAAAATGAAATCTTTAAGTTCAGGTATTTTGGAGGGGTCAGTGGGATGCTGGAATAAGCCGCACCGGAAGGGATGTAAGGCACAGATTTTTATGGGACATGTCGGCTTCTTAGCTCTGACCTAGACAGCTGAGGCTAGTCCGATCTTGTCAGATCTCCGAAGCTAAACAGGGTTGGCCCTGGTAGGTATTTGGACGGGAGACATCCAAGGAATACCAGGGGAGTGACGTGGAGGCAGGCAACGGCAAACCACCTGTGAACATCTCTTGCCTTGAAAAGCCGACGGGGTCGCCATACATCAGCTGTGATTTGATGGCACTTTCGACCAGCAAAGGACTTCTTAGAGATGCTTTTCAGAAAGGGAAGGGAAGGATTGCCAGCTCTGGGTTGGGAAATACCTGGAGATTTGGGGAGTGGGGCCTGAGGAGACTGGGATTTCAGTGGGGTATAATACCAGAGAGTCCACCTTCCAGAGCAGCCATTTTCTCCAGGGGAACTGATCTCTGTCACCTGGAGATCAATTGTAATAGCGGGAGATCTTCAGCCACCACCTGAAGGCTGGCAACCCTAGTTGGGTTGCCAAGTCTGGATTGGAAAATACCTTGGGACTTTGAGGGTGGAGCCAGGAGAGGGCGGGGTTTGGGGAGGGGAGGGGCCTCAGCATGGCGCAATGCCTTAGAGTCCACCCTTCAAAGCAGACATTTTCTCCAGGGGAGCTGATCTCTGTCAGCTGGGCATCAGTTGTAAGAGCAGGAGATCCCCAGGCCCCACCTGGAGGTTGGCAACCCTAAACCCTATGGAAGGGATAGAGGGGAACATTACCAGTAAATCCAAGTGTGAACCACACACAGATTTAAGCCAGGGCACTAAAACAATTGCATGGGGTGATCCTGTATGTATTTACGACTTACTCTGTGCGCTCCACTTTGTAATAAAAGACTCACAACAGCCAGTGTTTGGGCTGCTAAAACATCATGGATTTTTAACCAGCACGTCAATTATCTGTAATATTAAGCTATATATTTTCAGTTATGCAAATAGGGATTCTTATTCTGCCTCTTCACAGAGCTCTCTCAGAATGCTGGTGTCATTTGGCTTTTTAATTATAAACAGTCGCTAACCCTTCCCTTCCCCTAGAAGAATATTCGGTTTAATTAAAATTTGTGCAAGAGACCTTTCCAGAAAACTGCATGCTAAATCTTAAGCCTTGTGATAATTTTAAGGCAATTTGTAAAAATGACCTTTCCAGACTGATTACTCCGACCACCCGAAGCCCTGAACCTGCTGGTTAAAAAAAGGAAACGATGAATTCATCTCTTGGCAAGCATGGAAAGTTCCAGCTTGTTTTGTTGCATATGGGAAGAATATAGTAATGATTGAGATGCAGAAGTCGTGGAGAAAGCAGAGAAACGATTATATAGATGAGGACTGTCTTTGGGGAGATTGGATTTATACCCCACCTTTCACTACATGAAGGAGTCTCAGAGCGGCTTACAATCTCCTTTCCCTTCCCCTCCCCACAGCAGACACCCTGTGAGGTAGGTGGGGCTGAGAGAGGAAAAGGCAGTTTTCTGTGATTCTGCTATGAGGGATGGCAACCAGGGCTTGCCCAAGTTTTGTTTTTGTTTTTTGCACCCTAGGCAAATTATGAAAAGAGTTGTTTTTTATACCTCACTTTTCTCTACCCTAAGGAGTCTCAAAACAGTTCACAGTCGCCTTCCTTTCCTCTCCACACAACAGGCACCTTGTGAAATAGGTGGGGCTGGAAGAGTTTTGAGAGAACTGTGACTGGCCCGAGGTCACCCAGCTGGTTTCATGTGGAGGCGTGGGGAATCAAACTCGGTTCTCCAGATTACAGACCACCACTCACACACACACACAAACAATTCCTTTAATGGCATTTCACAAAAGTAAAAACATAATATCTGAGAAATAAAAATTCAGGTTCTGCATAAAATACAATTTTGTTAAAAAAAAATTACCCTTTGTTGAGCACCTGCAAAATTTTACTACGTATAGAGGCAGCAGCTAGTAAAAACTTTGCCACGAGTTCAGTTATGTTTTCCTCAGTGCTATTTAAAAGGAATATTAGTTTGTTCGGCGTGGAACAATCTGACACACTACCCAAAATTGGTAATAAAATCCGTTGCCTAATACCAGCATAATAACAACATTCAAACACCACATGGTACACTGTTTCAATAGTTTCATATCTGGAAGGGCAAAGTCTATTGGCAAAGGGAATACCCTGGAATCTTCCAAATAAAATTGCCGAGGGTAAAACATTAAGCCTGGCAAGTGTAAAGATTCTGCGCAATTTTGGAGATTGCAGTTGAAAAAAATAACTGTGCAAGCATCCTGCCATGGGAAATATCCCGTGGTTCAGAGGAGAACAAGTCTTACTGGCTGCATTATACAAGTTCCACAACTCTGCCTCCAGTAATCTGCTCTTTATTTTATGAAACCCCTCCGTTTCGGAGAGCATCAGCATAGATTCAAGAGAGATTTAAGGATCTCAGGTTTTTTTCTATAGTGGCAAGCCAAGGTGAACCCTCAGTCTCAGTTAACATCTGGTAACTATAGCTGGTGGGATCAGAGTTATAGCGCAGTCGGGCCCAGTATTTGAAGGTCATAAGCCACGCCCTCGTAGACATAAGGCTTTGACCACATTCCAGACAGAGGGCTTCGTATGGGGCACAAGGTGGGATCTTTCTTAAAAAGCTTGTATGCATCTGTTCAATTGACTTATTAACTGCCTCAATCCACACAGGGAGTTGGGGCTCCACTTTTATACTGAATATTTTTAACACAGATGGCACAAATTAGTTCCCTCTCTCTGAGAAGTAAAATAATAGGAGGGCATTAACATTTGCCTTAAGGTTGGGCCACCACTCTTAACCACTACACTATGCTGGTTTTGGTGCCTGCCCTCCGCATTCCGCTGACAGAAAATTGCGAAGTCTGGAAATAATATTTTACTTACTGGGCATTCACAATGAACCATGCTGGATTCTTGTTCACAGATGTGGAACGCCGAGAGAGCCCCGTGTGTGGATTTGTCACCCCTCTGGATGGTTCAGATGAGCACAGGAAACCAGAAGTGAGTACTCCAAACTCATTCACATCCCTCATGGAACCCAGGAGGGGAACTTAGTGGCATGTTTGTTTCCTTTCCTTGGCCTCTGACTGGAAAGGATGCTCATGGTGGGGTGGTTCCTGACCCATGCTGAAAGTCAATATAGACGTAGCAGTGGGCATACACAACCAGGGGTTTTTCATGTGCTTTCCCCTGCCATGTCTGCCACACTTATTTTGGTTGTGAAGATATACCTTAATCCGTGATGCGTCCAGGCGACAACAGTCCATATCTCCCATAAGCCAGTGTTCTCAGATGAGAGGTGTCAGAAAACACACACCCATTCTAGTCCCGCTGTATGGAATGGCCCAATCTAGTATGGGCTGGTTCTCTCTCACTCTCACACATACAAAGAGATAGCTCTTGTTGGAACTGGGTGCACTGAAATGGGCATCTGATTCTTTTGGCAAGAGCTGCTTTTGACGCTCCTTCTGGAGTCCTTTGTAGCAAGGTGCAGGTTGCATATTTTCTCTTGTATATTTGTAGTGAAAAGGGCTAGGAACTTGTATATTATTGCAATGTATTGTTGTAGTGTTATAATGTTTAGAACAATCTCGCTATTTTTTATTTATTTCTAAAGCCCTCTGGTGGCAGGGGAACGTGAGCCAAGTGTAGGGACCACAGTGTGGATTCTGGAACGCTGATATCCAGCGGCATTTCAGCCTTCCTGTGGTTTTGGCCTCTGTCTCTTCTGATCTGCTCCAAATACAGATTGCAAACTGGCTCCAAACTCCAAACATCCTAAATTCTTCTGGATTTTGCTAGTCAGTGTCTTCTCTCTGTCTTTAAAAAGGAACTGCAGAAGTTCAGATTCAGGTTATCTGGTGGCTTAAGCAGAACACATACGAAGCTGACATATATGTTAAATGTGTGGCCTACTAAGGTCAGTATTGGCTAGTCTGACTGGCCGAGGTTCTCCAGACAAAGGTCTGTCACACACCCTGTTTCCTGATCCTTTTGACTGGAGATGCCAGGGGTTGAACCTGGGACCTTTTACATGCCAAGCGGATGCTCTGCCACTGAGCCACAGCACTGCTTTCCTATCCTAATGTGCTTCTGTGCAATCGGTGATCTTTTTCAAGCTGCCAAAGCCATCTGTACCCATCTTAACTACTTAACAGGTCATCTCCTTTGGCTGTCCTTCTTTCCCCTCCTTTGGGGAAAAATTGCTTTTTTCTTTATATAGCATCCTTCTTCTTTTTTGTATTTTTCGTGTGTGTGTGAGCGTGTGTGCACCTGAAAGTCATGGTGACCTCAAAGTCATGGCAACCTCTGGCGACTGACTTCTGTGTCCACCTGGGAAGTCATGGTGACCTCTGGTGACTGACCTCTACTGGGGGCCTGGAGGATATCCAGAGAGGTGGCTGAATAAAGCCTGCCCCCGCCTTCCGACCGCTGGTATTTCAAGGAGGTCTCCCATCCAAATACTTGCCAGAGTCAACCCTGCTTAGATTCTGAGATCGGATAAGATCCGGCTTGCCTGGGCTATCCAGGTCAGGGCTATTTAATACCCTTTGTGAGGAAAATCTCTTTGCAGCTTGAAAGCTTGCGATAGGTATGTGGTGAGTCATGAATGAACCTTATCAAGATGGGGGGGGGGGCGGCTTGTTCCCATTTGGAATTCTTCCTAACTGGTTGTTCTTCCTTTGACAGGCTGTCGTGCTCGAGGGGAAATATTGGAAGAGGCGGATCGAGGTGGTGATGAAGGAGTATCACAAGTGGCGCATCTACTACAAGAAGCGGGTCAGGTTTTGCCCTTATACCCTCCCACCCTCATCCTACCCCACCTCTGTGATGTGAATCCCAAGAGGATCAGTGATTGGCCAGCTCCTAAGATGTGAAGCCATAGATCCCTGATCCAGGATCCCTGATTAGCCAGCCCCTGAGATGTGAATCCAGATATCCCTGATCCAGGATCCCCAAATGCCTTCAGTGCTCAACGTTCAAAATTTGGCTTCCATATGCAGAGGCAGGTGATGCAAGAGAACCGCAGAGAGGCAAAAGCCATAGCCAAAGCCTGAGATGAGCAGCAGTTTCACCTGATGGTCGATGCAGTGTCTGTGTGGGCTGCCCAGTTTCCAGTGTTCAAAATGTCAGGTCTTGGAGACTGCTGGTGGCCTTCCCGACCACAGCTTAAGAACCACTTGAGCCCATCATGGCTGAATCTGCTCTGCCTTGTGTACCCTCCCTGGTAAGGGTTGGATCCAGCTGGCTTTTTAATTGAGTCTCTCCCGATTCCCTTTTATACTATAGCCCCCATCCCACAGGGCTTTTGTAGAAGTAGGTCCTGTAATTCTCAGCATAGCCTTTTTGTGTGGACAAAGAGGAACCATCCTTTATCATCAGCAGAAAAGCTGGTTGGTTCCAACCCTAAATCTGGAGCCGGCAAAGGGTTGGATCCAGACTTAATTGGCAGTTTCCACTGGTTCCCCTCTTCCTGGAGCAGACCCCCTTGTATCATTCCTCAGGATCCCCTGTCCCCCGGGAGCAGCACTTCATGGAGATCAGTGGGAGAGGGGGATGGTAGGAAAAAATTCCTTTCTGCCATTGGAAAATGTAGTCCAAGATCCAACCCATAGATTTATCTTTATCCAGGAATTTGGTTAATTCCCCCCTCCCACTTTGACTGTCTTTTAAGAAGTTTAAATCAGGCTTCTGCATCTATTGTTGTTGTTGTTTTTTAACACTGGCTTTTCGTATCATAGTTTAATCGTTTGGGCAAATCTCCTTGAGAGTTATTGGCCGAGAGAGCCATTTTTTAGCCAGTTAAAGTTCTCCAGCCCTGGTCTTTGCACCACCATCCACCTACCCTGGTTTTTCCCTCTGCCAGTGCAACCTTCCTGTGGTGTTTCCTCTTGCAGCTCCGCAAATCCAGCCGAGATTGGGAAGCCCCCAGCCCAAAGCAGGTGAGTGGAGTTTGGAAGTGGCAAAAGGGGACGGCAGCTCTCAGGTTGGCAGGATCTGGCCTTGGTGTGTGTGTGTGGGGGTCCACCTCCCAAACAAGGCAGGGATCCACCTGGGCCACACCTTGCCAAAGGGCCTCTGAGCAACCCGCCTTCTTTCTTGTTCAGGATGATGAGACCTGGATGCCACTAGAAAATTGGTGCAACCAGCTCTTCTCCAACGTGGTCCCCATGCTGTTGAGAGACAAGGAGGAGGAACCAGAAGGGAGACAGCTCTTTGATCTGGACAGCTTCCTCTCGGACATCTCCGACACCCTCTTCACCATGACCCAGCCCCCCTGTTCTCCTCAGCCACTGGCGGAAGAAGGTAGGTCCTAAGACAGTCACCTGGGGCAGCTGCGGTTCATCTTGTAGGGGACCTGCTCCCATTAAGGACTAGGCCAGGAGCTCTGTTTAACTCGACTCTCTGTGGCAACCCAGGTGCCTTTGGAAAGCTGATGGCATTAGGGTGAGACGTGTTCCCAACACCTCACCCTCAGAGGGATGCTGTGTGTACAAAGGAAGTTACAACATTCAGTGGCAATGAGTCTTACAGGGAAATGAGAAGACAGGTTCCTCTGAGAGCAACATCTGTCCAATAGAACCTTCCTTGAGAGCCATACATGGATCTATGGCAATTAAATGGTCCTCTTTGTGCAAGGCAGCACATCCAGCTGCAAATGTCTGAGTTATGTGGCATTCTTTTAAATTTAATTTTTTTAAATTTTTATTTGTATCCCACCCTGCCCCACAAGCGGGCTCAGGGCAGCTCCCCATATATAGAGAAACTATAAATAATAATTCATAAAAACAAAACCAAGTTATCTACAATAGATCAATTAAAATATCTGATGGCAGCTTAACCATTTTAACTACAGTGCCCACTGCGGCAATGTGTGTGTGGGGGGACATTTATGTTAGAGAAAACAGAGTCAGCTGGTTCCGGTGCCAGGTTGGTATACCATACCGGTGCCAGGTTGGTATACCATACCAGTGCCAGGTTGGCAAAGTTATATGGGCAACTAGGTGCTGGTGTCACCCAAAGGCTGCAGCTAGAAGCAGATGTCAGCCTACACGCCCCAGCAATGCTGTTCTTAAGATGGCTATAACTATAACGGCTAAATGAAACTTTCCCCCAAATCTCTGTATTCTTTTCTCTTTCTTCAGCCTATACTGGCAACGCCGACATGATCCAGCCGTACCTGGCCCCGCTGCAGCCAAATCTTGACGATTTCATGGAGATCTCTGGTAGGAATTGCTGTCATCAGAGATCACGGAAGGGAGAAAGAAATGCAATGATTGGGTGCGGAGTGAGGGGAAGGAGCCAGATAAGCCAGTATGGTGTAGTGGTTAAAACGTCAGATCTGAGTTTAAATCTCTGCACAACTGTGAAGCATGCTGGATGGAAAAATCATACTCTCTTGGCCAAATCTACCTCACAGGGCTGTTGTGAGGATGACGTTGCAGGGAGACGAACCATGGTAGCCAGTCTTCAGGTGTCTAAAAACAAAATCTACACACCTTTATACATATACAGGTTGAGCGAGCCATAGCAAGCATTAGCCTCACGGCAAGGTCAGACACTCTCCGATCCGACGTCTTCCTCTATGCAGAATGCTGCAGCCAACCTCCTGGGCAATGTTCCCTCTAAGCTGTGGAGTCTTGTGAGCAAGAATTCTTTTTTTGTGAGCTACTGGCATTAAAGTTGTGAGCGAGCGATTTGGCTGCTGCATCAATTCGTTTGCTCTGGAGCCATCCTTCCTGAGCTAGGACAAAAATGTGTGAGCCGGAGGCTAAAAAACTGAGCTGGCTCACACTAACTCAGCTTAGAGGGAACACTGCTCCTGGGTGTGAGTTGTCAGAGTATCTTGCAGCCTGTTCTGTCCAGATCAGTCCTGGCAGGAGAGAGCAGGAAATGCCGAAGGACAGAGCATCTGAGCTTCTGCCTTCAGTCTAGTCCTTCTGACTCCTTCCTTTCACAAATGAAGCCACAGTTTTTCCAGGCTGCCTCAGTTGATCTAAATGTGGCTTAGACAGTGATGGCAGGAAGTGACGCATCTGTACTTTTTTTTCTTTTTAAGAGAGAATAATTGGACGATCCATAGTGGAGGTGATGTCTTGATAACCTTGGCCCACAATCTGAGTTACAGCATATCTACATTACAAACTGAAACCAGTTTCAAACCTACTTTAAATGTTACGGCTCTCAGTACAGGATTCCTAGAAAACGTAGATGTGGAAAAGGCCAGCGATGTCTCGCAGGGGACACCCTTGCAGAATTCCAGTTTACACGACTCTTTGTGGTGGTGGAGGGGAGCTGTGAAAATTAAACTAGTTTCAGTTTGTAATACAGATATGCCCTCTAAAAGTCCAAAGTCCAAATAAGAGCCTTGTTGGATCAGACCTGGGTTCCATCTAGTCCAGCATCCTTTCTCACACATTCTGTAGTATCACCAATACGGCATAGAGACCAAGGTCCTGATGTTGCCTCCTGGCTCTGCTATTCAGACTTTTTATTGGTTCTGAATGTGGAGATTCCCTTTAAGCACGATGTCTAGTAGCCACTGATAGACCTATCCGCCAAGAACCTGCCTAATCTCTGTGTGAAGCCACCTGGAATTCCTGGCAGGGATTTCCACATTTACACTCATTATGTAAAAAAGTATTTCCTTTTGTCTGTCCTGAATCTATGGCCCATCAACTTCATTGGATCCCCCTGAGTTCTAGTATTTTGGGAGAAGGAGAAAAAATTCTCTCTATCCTCTCTTTCTCCCCTGTACATAATTTTATAAAACTGTATCTTGTCCCTCCTTAGTCACCTTTCCAAACTGAAAAATCCCAGACTCTTTAGCCTTTCTTCATAGGAAAGGTGCTCCAACCCCTTAATCACCTTGGTTACTCTCTTCTGAGCTTTTTCCAGTTCTGCAATGTCCTTTTTGAGATATGGCGACCAGAACTGTACACAATATTCCAAGTAGTAGCTTGCTACTTGGACGTTTGCACTACTGGACATTACAACAACAGAGAGAGATGCAAATTATTGTCTGAGTTCAGAAGGGCAAGACAGGGAGGGCTGAACATTGTGAGTGTCACCCCCCCCACACACACACACACAACAGAGAGAGAGAAAGAGAGAGAGAACACACAGGAAGAAACAGGAGGACCATAAATATTTGGAGGAGGGCAAAGTTAGAGCTGCCACCTGCTTGGTTAAAAATAAAGCCCCTTCCCTTGGGCTTAATGGGATACTATGTACCTCGTGATGTTGTTTGCTTCCATGCCATGAAAACCTTCCTGTTTCTACACAATAAGCCTCTATTGTTTCTACACAATAAACCTCAATAAGCTGAGCCCCATTATTAACACGATGGCCCTTTCTGGAGTTATCTACAGTTATATCCCTGAGATCTGATGTATTGCCACCTTGCCATCACGTAGATTAGTCTTAGGTTTTAACTACAATTATATGGAAATTGTTTTTATATGTCTTACTGGTGTATTGTACCCCGCCCTGACCCCGCTTGGGGGGGAGGGCGGGATACAAAACCCATAAATAAATAATAATAAAGGGGCAGAACATTTTTCTTCAGGGCTGTTGGCATCAAAGTGGGGCCCACCCCCTTTGCTGTAGTTCCCCAAATATAGCGGGTGTTACAGGAATGTGAAACTGAACCGTGGTGCTAGACAGAGAGGAAGGAAAACTCTGGTCAAGAAAGGGGAAATTTCAGGGGAGGGTTGGCTGGGGGCTGAGAAAAGGGCAAGGGGGGGTGAGGAGGCCACGGAGTGGCCAGCCTCTCTCATCTCTGATCTCTCGGCCAAACGTGACAATATTTGGCCCCTGCTCTATAGAGCAGAAGAGGGGAAAGGAGCAGATTCCTGGCTTGTGTTGAAAATTGCTTCATATGGACTAGTTATCCTAGAACCATCCTGGGCATAACTTGCAGCCAACGTGGCGTAAGAGAAGCTAAAAGAAAATGGTTCCATTATGGGTAAGGGCAGTATTCTGTTTGTAATCTACTGTCTACTCTCTTAACCAGTTTGGTGTAGTGGTTAAGTGTGCGGACTCTAATCTGGGAGAACCGGGTTTGATTCCCCACTCCTCCACTTGTACCTGCTGATGTGACTTTGGGTCAGTCACAAGCTCTGGCACAGCTGTCCTTGAAAAAGAGCAGTTTGTGTCAGAGTTCTCTCAGCCCCACCCACCTCACAGGGTGTCTGTTGCGGGGAGGGGAAGGGAAAGGAGTTTGTAAGCCGCTCTGAGACTCCAAGTGAAGGGCCGGGTACAAATCCAATCTCTTCTTCTCTTCTTCTTCTTCTAATGAGAGATCCAGGTGGGCAGCCGTGTTGGTTTGAAGTAGCAGAACAAATTTTGAGTCCGGTAGTACCTTTAAGACCTTTGTTGGTCTTCAAGGTGCTTCTTGACTCAACATTTATTCTGCTCCGTAATGACTGAGTGCAGAACAGGGAATGGCTGTTGTCAGGGTTGAATTGGCACGACGAAAGAAGGTGTGCCTTGTATATACACGCGGAGCCATCACCCAGCCGAAGAAATCTGAGCCAGTTAATCATAGGAGTGTAAATACATTTCAAGGGTTTACAGTTGCATGTGTGTGAAAACAGTGATTCTAAAGAAGTGTTCATCTATTTGAGATTTGAGATTATACCTGCGTATATTGTTGCCGACACCAGCTTAGAAGAGGCTTTCCTCCTTTTGAGTGAGAGTGGGGAATGCCTCTTCTCTAGTGGCACCTGCTGTGACCAGTATTCCGTCTAAGCTGAGTTTGTGTGAGCTAGCTCACAATTTTTTAGCCTCCAGCTCACATGTTTTTGCCTTAGCTCAGGAAGGATGGCTCCAGAGCAAACTAATTTATGCAGTAGCCAAGTTGCTTGCTCATAACTTTAATGCCAGCAGCTCACAAAGTAGAATTTTTGCTCACAAGACTCCACAGCTTAGAGGGAGCATTGGCTGTGACATATGATTGCTTTCCCTCCTTTGTAGAAGAGAATGGGAATGCCTCTTCTCAAATGCATCCACATGCAGTGCCATACAGTGGATGGAGTCCTTACAGGGATTCCTCTTTTTGTGAGACAGAACAAAGAATGCCTCCTTTCCTACGGTGTTTGCTGTGGCACAGGATCGCATCACTATGAGCATCAGTGGGTGTGGGTGGTGTAGAGGCATTCCATTTGTTGCAAGAAGGAACGGGAATGCCTCTTCTCAGATGATGGAAGAACTCATAATTATCTGTATTTAATAGAATGAAAACGTCTCTTCCCTGATTAACTGGCAGCATCTTCTTAACACAGCACCATTTAAAAAAATCAATCCATTTGACTAGCTTTGGTTGCACAGCCCAGAAAGACAATGAACGGCAAACGCTTCCCACCAGAAAAGAGACAAACAAGGGTGACTGTTTGAGTTGTCAATCCATGCATTGGATAAGATTGCCAGTTTTCTTACCCAGAACAGAAATTTAAGCAGGTGAAATTTCCCCTAGCGGGGATGTGAAGTGATGATGGGGGAAGGGAAATGTCACCTACCTTATTAAGGTCTGTAGATTGGATGCTAAAAGCTACTGGAACAGGGCCAGTACAACAGTATAACAGTGCTGGGTTTGCCTCTGACCCTTGCTCCCAGGGCTATATTCTCTGGCCATGTGCAGAATGCCCAAGTAACAACAACTAATTCCTACTTAGCTGAGGATGAGGAGTCTGGCTTCTGGTAGGGCTGACCAAATGCTCTCTATTTTTGTTTCTGCTATATTTATTGATATTTTGTCTGTGGTTGCCTTTCTCTACTTTTTTGTGGTTTGTTTTGCAGATTCCTTTTAGGTACCCATCCTATCTATATAATGTATATGGTATTTGTATGCACAATGTGCATCATCATTTCATTTATATATAGCAAACGATGCTGGTTTTAATGGCGCTCAAGTCATATTGGAAAAGGCATAGGTTTTATTTTATTTTATTATTATCTCAGTTCTACCTACCCCACCTCTCCCAAAACTTTGGAGACGCATCGGAAACTGCAAGTGGTCCACAGAACACAGCTGCCAGATTGCTGACAGGAGTGTCCTGGTTGGTGCATGTTACACCTATCCTACGGCAGCTGCACTGGCTCCCAATTAGTTTCTAGTGCCAATTCAAAGCGTTGGTAGGTACTTACCTTTAAAGCCCTAAATGGCCTGGGACCCTCATACCTTCGGGACCAGCTCTCCCGGCACGATTCTCCCCATCTTCTCCGA